ACCGGGGTTAACGGATGCGTTTGATGCCTTTAACGACGCGCCTTTGGCAGGAGGTTTAGGACTACTACAGGAAAAGTGTTACTGAAGCGACGAGAAACTCGCAGTCATCACGAAAAATACGAGCAGTGGCCAAAATCGGGTACACCCGGTCCAACCACGGCCATAACTGGGTACCTCTACAAGACTCTGCTGGGAGCGACCGCATGACACCATCTGATTGTCGGACTCCCACTCCTAGCCGACCTTGATCTTTTTTCCACCGGGTGCACCCGATCTTGGCTTCCCACCCCCCGGGGGGGCACCCGATTTTTCTTTTCCCTACCCGAAAATGGCCGTTGGCTGTTCGGCCAAAACCCATTGAACACAATGACGGGTCGGACGCACACCACTGGCCGCTCGTTTGTCGCCAATGAGGAAGCGGCGGGAGGCAGAGAATATTTCTACTTGTTATACGTCTCGTGTGTGTCGCATCTCGTCAGGGAGGTATTCATCCAGCTATTCTCGATCATTTGCACCGACTGCCTGCCGTTTCCCACAGCGAGAGTTCCACCGCCGGCGGTGAGTCCGCCTCCGCCGCGACGTCGGAACGTTCCAATTCGAGCGCAGGGGGCAGGGCATTGCTGACGTGTGATTGTGTTCATGGGTTTTGACCGAACAGCCCAGCCATTTTCGGGTACATGAGGGAAAGAAAACCCCCTCTGGAGGGTGAGTATATAGCCAAGATCGGGTGCATCCGGTGGAAAGAAGGTCAAGGTCGGTTAGGGGTGGGCGTCGGCTGATCAGATGGTGTCATGCGGTCGCTCCCGGCAGCATCTTGTAGGGGTACCCGATTATGTCTGTGGTTGGACCGATTTTGGCCACTGCTCTGATAAATACATGCATACACGCACTGTCCACCAGCATGCCCGTCGGTATGCATATCATATTTGTTGTATTATTTCTAGACTAGCGTCCGCATGCCGCGCACGACAACAAATTGCAAGGACAAGCAGGAACGCATTACAAGTAGAAGTGAAAGAAATTTGCCTGTTCGCCCACATCTTGCCTACATGCAGATAAATCTTGTTGGCATTCTCGGAGTTCGTACGATAGCGATCTACTGCTTACTTTTGTAGTATGCGTATTTCTGCACTCTCTGTCCCCTATTCGGTGGGTATGTAGCCTAGCTACAGCAAGAACACGCAGTCGTAGTCTACAGCAGCAGCAGTCGATCCGTATACTATCGTGGCTACGGTAAGTAGACGGTGAAAAAAAAAAGATATCACACGACGAGACGACGACGAGACGCTCTTTCTTGTTTTCTTCCCCGTGGGATTGTAACGAGAGGACATTCATACAAATCATGTCATATCATATCATACATCAGACGGGGAGATCAAGATTTTTTTGTTCTTATTGTGCATGTAGTGCATGCATTTGTACTGGTCCCGTCATCACAAGCTTCTTCGTGTTCGCCGTCGTACGTATGCCGAGAAACGACAACAATAGACACAGCAGCAGCCTCAGCACCACTTTCTTCCCATCATCGTAAACTAACACACGTCTGTCTACTATCTCTCCCTCTCGATGCGTTCGTGACGCCGCATCGTACCGAGAAGTCTTCAACAGCAGTACACAGCGGTACTGCTGTACAAGCCTTTCTATCCCCGCTCGTGGCGCCATCGTACCAAGGCACAAACGGCACTTGAAGTAAAACTCAAATAAATGGGGAAGCAGCCGTGGCACGCGGCAATCTATCAAAAATAACACAACCGAACCAAATCAGCTTCTTCGCAAACTCCGTTTTAGCAAGAGTGCCGATCTCTGCTTGGTACTGATCCACCTGACTCGGACGCCTTCCGTGGTCACAGGCTGTCTACATACCCCAAACGTTTTTTTTTTGTCTTCACTTCAAATCAGCGTTCACAGCACTAGTGCCGTTTACTTCAACGCGTGGTCACACAGAAGAGCCCCTCTCTACCCTCCCCTCCTGCGGTACTTTGCCTTCGATTTTGAATGCGAGAAGAGTTCAGCACTCTCTTCCCTCTGTGTACACACGAACTAGCGCTATCCACTAGACCAGGAGCGGAAGCGAGAGAAAAAAATCGCTTTGCAAGAAAAACTCGCTTACGCCGGGATTCGAGCACACAATCTGACCCACAGAAGGTGTTGAGGATGCCAACTAGACCACTGGGGCGGAAGGGTAGACTGTGCATATTTCCAAACCAATCAAAACGAAATCGGTTGTTCTTTTCAAAAACGATTTTTTTGCATGCGCTTTGCGAAATGCTTGTCGCTTGCAGACGGACTTGTCGCGTGCATACACGACAATACAAGTCTCTCTAATCCAGACTCCGTTTTTGGTTGCGCGATTCTCTTTTGGCCCCTTTCCAGCGGCAAGCACGACGGGAGTGGCACAGATCTATCTGCACCAATCAGGCGAAAAGGCCAAGGAACTCGCATGAAGAATGAGCGCGCAAGAAGCCAAAAGAATGTGGGCACGAGGATTGCACGAAGACGCCGACCTACGGCTTAAGTACGGACCAGTGGCCGAGGTTTTGCGCCAAGCACTCAGAGGATGGAATGGTGGGCTGCTGCAACCCAGAGTGCAACAAGATTCAATCTTACGGCCATATCGGTACAAAAACGGTCGTGTTTTGCGCCGAGCATGCGGAAAACCAAATGGTGGACGTGCGCAACAAGAAGTGCGCCCATGAAAGCGGCTGCACTACGGCACCTTCATTCGCCGAGAAAGGCGCCAAAACGGGCATGTTCTGTGCCAAGCATGCTGAACCTGGAATGCAGTCAGTACGCATGCGGAGATGCGACCAAGCAGGCTGCGCCGAAGAGCCTTCGTACGGCGAGAAGGGGACCAGAAGTCCGAAATTCTGCTCTACGCACGCTTCAGAGGTTATGATTGAACTCTTCAAGAAAAAGTGCCACTACAAGGGCTGCCGTGCGTCGTTTTTTGGCGCCGGAGAAGCACCAGAATTCTGCCCGAAGCACACGGGCGAAGAATTCTGCCCGGAGCAGACGGACGAAGAATTCTGCCGGACGGACATGGACGGTAAGCTGGTGCGCGTCAAGAAGCGGAGGGAGAATAGCAAGAAGAGGTGCGCGCACCCCACTTGCAACAAGCATCCGTTCTTCGGTGCACCCTCGACCAGGAAGATGGAGTACAAGTACTGCTCTCGACACAAGGAGGATGGGATGGTCAACCTCATCAAAAAGACGTGCGCGCACCCGGCGTGCGAGAAGACTCCGTCCTACGGCGCTCCTGGTTCCAAGAAGAGAGAGTATTGCGCTCGACACGCTCCGGATGGGATGCGCGTCGTCTGCAACAAGAAGTGTGTTTCTCCCACCTGCACCAAGTTGGCGAGGTATGGCGAGGATGGCAGCCAGAGTCGAAACTTCTGTGGCCATCACGCACATGAACCGATGACATCCTGGTGGACCAAGAGGTGCGGTCATCAAGAGTGCAGGGCAACACCGTCATTCGGCGTGGTCGGGTCCCAAACTGGGGAGTTTTGCCCAAAACACGCGAAAAAGAATATGGTCGATATCATGTGTTCAGGCAGGTTGTCTAAGACCGGCGTTATTTGGAATGGTCGGCACGGTCACAGCAAGGTTCTGTCGATGCCACGTTAAGGATGGTATGGTGCAAGTTTCAAACGTGCCTAGAAAGCGCGCGGGGAGCTGTGGCAACAAGACCAGGGCACGCAAGCGACCCCGCCACCCTGGCGACACTTCTCCGTTACCGGCCCCGGTAAAGGAAGAGTTGTGCCTAGAGACGCCCACCGTAGACGGCACAAGATAACACATCCCGGTGATAACATTTTGGGCTTAAAAAAAATGGTATCCTGTGGGGGTCGTGGTATCTTATGTAGCCCGGGTGATAAAGTGCAGCTCGTAGGGGCTCCGAAGGGGGTGTGATAGCACGTCCGAACACCTACAGGGCATATTTGGGTGTGTGATAAATGAGGGGGGGTGATAAACCAGGGGGTGTTACAGCACATCCGAACACCCACAGGGTGTGTTTGGGGGTGTGACAAATGAGGGCGTGTGATAAAAAGGGGGTGTGATGACACTGCTTGTAAAGTTGAACCGCTGCTACCGCACACTTGAAAGGATGTGGCTGCTGCTGGCGAGGCGATGCGGTAGCTGTCATGTTAGCGCCTGTTGCTGTGCCAGCTGCTGCTGTTGATCTAACAGCAGCAGCAAGAGGACGAGCCGTAGCAGGAGCCGCTTGCGTAGAAAACGTGTTCTCGCGTTGAAAGAACGAGGTGATCTGTGGCGCTTGTATCGCTGCAATCGAAGCAGTTGTCGAAGAAGCGGATGTACCTGCGGCGGCATGCTGCTCTCCCTGGGCGTTCATGTTGTTGGAGGTCTCCATACGGGGTGTTTGCCCCCACACCTCACACAGATGTTGTGAGAGAGTGTGAGAGAGTGTGTGATGCCCACGCGGCAGATGCTGTATCACCCCAGTGATACAAGGAGAGGCCCCGTGAATGTATGCAGCAAGGGTGTGTTATATCTTATGTAGCCCGGATGAAAAATCGATGGTTTGTCAGAAACGCCCAAAACTACTACCGGGGTGTCGTATTCTGCGCGGGGGGGGTGGTTCTAACCTGGGTGTGCTATCTTGTGTCGTCTACGGTAAGAGAAAGGTCGTCATGGAAAGCAAACAAAGGGTCGACAAACAGTGGGACGACTCCAGACAGAGTGGATACCGTACAAGAAGAGATGGAGGTCTTTCGTTGTTTGAAGGATTGCCGCGTGTCTTCGCGTTTCGTGGGGAACACATAACGTTGTGCGGGGGAGTCGACGTTTTCGTTCGTGTTCGTCGTCTTCGACTCCGCCTGGAGCTATTGGTTGACCTCGAGGACTATCGAATCTGCTTGGCCTGAGTGCTTGTCTCATCTCATTCTACGTTTAGTTTTTTCTGTCTCGTATCCCCTGATACAAGCCTACAGCCTACAGCCGTTGTTAGTTGTATCTAGGGACCATCCGCGATGTCGCCTGATCGCCCCAGCACCCAAGTATCTGGGTGTGCCGGAGTGTTTGCCTGGTTGGAGATATATTCCCGACAGAGAGCCCCCGCAGGGCATTGTAGAGGCACGTTCTCTGTTACTGTACTCGTCGTGGTTCCGAGTGGACTGTGTAATGCGCTCTGCTCATGTTGTTTTTTAGGGCATGCTCTTGCCCTGTAACCTGCTGTTTGTCATTGTAGAGTGTTTTTTCTGACATACGTTATTATCGTGTGGTTGGACCCTCGGTCAGTGTTTGTTACATTTTCAGTTTTTTTGTACCTACCTCGTGTCGGGTAGATTGCATATATATAATGAGTTCTGCTCCCTGGGGAGTGCCGTACAAAGGAACGGTGTCGCCACGCGTGCATACTCTAACGCCAATCCATTCGGTAGGGTTACACACGACGAAGCGAGACGACACCGGCCCGTTTAATTAGGACTCCAAAGACGTCTCCTCAAATCAAGCACTAAATAAACCACCTTGCAACTTGTTGCAACTTCCATTATTTCCGCACGTCGGCCTCGGTGAAGTGACGCGGGTTTGGCCAGGCCACGCTCGCCCGTCCCTTCCTGCTGCTGGAGGAAGAGCCATTCCCAGCATGATTGCCGTGCCTGTGTGAAAGGCTCTCTTGCTGTCCCCTGCGGCAGATCGGATCTTCCTGCAATTATTTATGCATGTAGACGAACGCGTAGATCTATTTTCGAAGATTTTACGCATACATGCCGAAGGACAGAGCAGCAGCAGCAGCAGCAGTGATCCACGAACGTTGGACGCCCCTACTCTTCTTGCATCCCGCCGTACCGCGCACATCGGTATTCTGGCGTACTACCCTTGGCCGTACCCCTTCGGCATCGCATCGTACTATCCTCACCGCCAATACGGTTAGGGTCGTCGCTGCGTTCGTTGGCAGTGGTTGGAGCATGGGACAGCAGGTATGGCGTTTCGAAGTATCCGTTTCGAGGGGTCTCCGCAGTTTTACCAACAAGGGGACGAGGAGGGTATCCCTTTGTGTCGCTCAGCCGGCCGACCCACCGCTGGCTCTGCTGACTGTAGGTACTGCTGTTCGGTGTCGCACGTGCAAGTCGGAGATGACAGCTACTATGCATACCACAAAGGTAAACGCTAACACAACTTGGATGTTGCTGCGGCAATGGAGACAATACCGTCCGCCAAACCCAAGGCGAACGTGCGGAGTATTTTTTGCAGGGTCAACACCTAATTGCGCCGCATCGAGTCGCTGCTACCGGACCGGTGCGTGGGTCGGCTCGCTACGTAGTAGCCACCGGCCGCGTCACTTATCTGTTGGTGGTGCTTCTAGTACCTTTGGTGACAGCGCGCCTGGTGATGTTGTTTCCTGTGGCGACCCGAAACAAGGACGAGAACAGTTCGTTGTAACAGGATCGCTCCTTGACGCGAGGAGAGCAGGGTCGGACTCGCCGTTGCCTGGCCAGTTTCTGTCCATCTCTCACGCGTTCGGGCCCGAGGCGGTGGCTGCGTTCGCGGCTCACGCGGGGGACGACAATCCGATACACCTCGACGAGAATTACGCCAGGCAAACGGGGTGAGCAAAGTGTGTTGAAAACGGCACGCTAACATCGGCTCGTGCACACCAGCAGCACAGGGTTTGCTGTGATGCGGCGGGTCGGTCCTATTAGTACAAATCAAACCATTAGACTTCACAGTAGTCAGCGGCCTCTAAGTGCTACATTTTTTTTTTCTTGTACCATCGTGTTTAGCGGATGGGGTGGCGGCCCCGTTCGAAGATGTGCGCGAATGGCAGTTGTCAAGGCAGTCCTTCTTAATGCCACCGCGCTCTGCGATCTATCGAATGAGCTGGTCTGGGTAGAGAGCCCCTATTGTCCCTGATCTCAAAACCGGGTTCTCAAAACGACAACGATGGGGGTGGCGAGAAGGAGGGAATGCCTGTGTGTACCTATAGGTGACATGAGATATGTACTCCCCAAACCCCAAAACAATTAATTAAATCAAACACCCCATATTGCGAGGTTGGACCCAAACA